CTAACTTTATCTGTTTATCCTTTAAAGTATATTTGGATCGACCGAAAAATAAACATATATGAGAGAAACTGCAATATTTGAATGTTTTTATGCAATACCAACGAGATTATTGCAAACAGTTTGGTTCGTTTTGTTAAATCAAATAGAAAACCAGAATGATAAGTTAATTAAAAAGTAGAAAACTGATGAACATGTTCGGCAATGTCATGATTATGTGGAGATGCTTCTAAGAACCTCCAGATTGTAAGTGTGGTTTGTCGAAACCTGGTTTGAGTGAAATTCACCTATGTTAAGAGAATTTCCTGAAACAACTCGGACTTTCGGAAGTCCCATTTTACGTATGCTGTTATGGGACAAATAAGCTGAGATAAAAAGCTGTAAAAGCTGATTTTAGGATTCCAATGCTGTTAATTTTAACGTGTAAATGCTAGAACTTAGTTCATCTAGCCCTTATATTCTTTTACTCCTAAGTTTTCAATTGATTTGTTGAAAACCATCCTTTTTTCTATTTCAAATGATCGCAAATTAAAATTTATTTCACTATTCCACTCTTGTATTCTAATGCGCTTTTTCAACTTATGGTCTAATTCCTTCTTTACGATGTGCTGTGGTTCGGTTCTCCACTTATTTAATCAAGGTTATGTTTGGGCTAGAGATACGAAGAATAACATCGTTTTATAGTCCTTGGTTTTTGATTAGGTATTAATTAGGAAGGTTCTGGATGGTAAAACATAGTTTTCACAGCAGGTTATTGAGTCCGATCGGTCCCATCCGAACTCACTCGTAACAGGATACGCTGTAACGTCCAGTCTTCCGTAGGTTTGCGCCCATCTCGACGGTTCTTTTTGTGCTGTGGGATTGCGAGAAGTAGTAACTGGGCGAATCTGGCAGAAAAAGGTGAGCCAATGGTTCAGCGACACATAGGTCGCACTTACATTCACTGATGAAATCAACCAAAAACAATGAGGTTAGCACAATACGACAATCTAAATCGGAAGTTGATAGTGTAACGTTCCGAATGTGCTACATAGTATTATGAGTAGCGCAAAAATCCATAGAATAAAATAACAGTAATAACATATTAGGCCATTACAATTGGGCAGTCACAGCAACTACTACGTGAATTCGGACACATGACAAACCCGTAAATTTGCATTTGTCTCGGTATTTTGAATTGACTTTTCTCTGTACTGATTTGAACAACATGCGGTTCACTTGCTTAGGTCTTACATTTAAATTTCACTTTAACCCCAGAAGTGCTTCCACGCAAACCTAAGTACTTGAACTTTCATTTTGTACGACCTGTTTAGAGCATGGATGTCCTAATCATTTTAAGTATATTATTGTACAAGTTAAAAGTCAGGAATGAATTGAGTACAATGGATAACAAATCAGCTTTCTGTCATTATCCTCTGATTGGATACTGGGTTGAAAGTGTTCCAAAATCGTCAAGCATTAATGTCATTACGACACGATCACTTGTGTCCTTATACAACCCAAGCAATGCCGTTACCATAGCTGTTCAGTATTCTTTTATGCACCTGATAAGAGTGAACGAAAATATCAGAGTGTAATTATAGTAAGTCTTAGTATCCAGCTAATCCAAAACGAACTACGTACAATAAAAACAAGTCGTACGATCAAACAGACAGCGAACGAAAAGATCCATAGAAATAAATATCATGGTTTCTGTACTCCCTAGAAGTATCACCACACATTTTAACAACCAGCAAACACCCATGATAGTCACACATGTTTTCTTCCGCGCATTCTTCACCTATATTTTAATGTGTTCATTCTTTGAAGTCCCTCTAGTCTTTTTTACCAGAACTATCGTCTGTATCACTTGATTAGTGGCTTACTAGTCTTCGGTCTCTATATCATAGTTACAGATTTAATTTTTCATCGTTTCTATTCTGTTTTTCTGGGGTCGCAATCGATATTTCATTTAACCTAAGTTCAGGAACCGCAGGAATTTAAGTGAGTTGGGCCGAAGATGTCACGGATATGCAGTATTCGGCAACGCTACAGCCTGAATCCTCTATCATGCAAGGATCACAAAACCAATCTTCCCAGGAATTGGGAATGAACAGGTGTGAAGATGTATTCGAATAACTGTGGAAGTATCAGAGCATATGAATTTTGATCTGGCTAGTGGTTGTGATAGATGCACAGCCCACTCGTTTGTGATCTCGAGGGGATGCACGATCGAGCCTATTCAACTAGGGTTGTATCCAGTAAAACTAGCACGTCGTACATGCTGTTCTCCCTCCGTTCGAGTTTAGTTTCGGTAGTAGGCATATACAAGAGCTTGACTTTTCTCCTCTCAGTTTAGACTGTTCAGTTAGCGTGTAAGCGTGCCTTAGACGAGGGTTCATAGGCTTTGGTACCAATGAATTGAGTTCCGTTAATTGCTCACTGCCCGTGTGCATTGATAGAGTCCTTCCAAAATGTATATTTAAGTCACACTCATTATACCGATGATTTCTGATAAAAATGCCGGAAAAGCTCATGCATCATTTCCAGGGTAATCAAATGAACTGAGAGTTGCTTACTATATACATCATTACTCCATTTTGTTGCATTATGTTTTAAACCAATCACGCTTCCCCAGCACCAATCGATGATGCATGATATTTAAGTTTCTGGGATGATATTCTTGTCAAGTCACGCAAACGAATGTCTAGAAATAGTAACACTAATGGAACCTGTGATATTTCCAGGCATCAATGCTATTAATACAGCGTCTTGACCAGATAAGAACAGTCCTTTAAAAGCATTGGTGGTCGAACGCAGGATCGCAGGACATTTGTAGCTTAGGTAGGCCGCACTCAACAAGCACAGGAGAGAATTGTTTCCTGACGCAATGTGAACGCAACCTTTGCAGCCAGAGAAACGTCATAACAGAAGAGCAAATGACGGACACCAGTCGTAAACAAATTTGGTGTGACTTTGATTGCTTGGGTATTCTACACAGTAAGGTAATGTGGTCCATTTGTTTCAGCTTAGAAAGGATTTTTCTACGTATCATACGTACTCCATTAAATCGCATGCCTGGTAACTTTTTCCAAAAGTGTGTAAGACTTAGAATTAACTTTTTCATTAAACATTAATAGAAGTTTCTAATAATTTTTCGACAGAAGACGCGAAGTACAGTTTAGATTCAAAAGTGTTCAACTGGATATTTTAGATGCTCTGTTTTCATTTAAATGAATAAATGGAAGCTTGTATGGACAAAGAAATATCACTGAGCACCAACTTGTAGCGTGGAGTTGAGTCGCGATTGACTATGAACACCACTACAAGTTGAGCGCGTACCAAACAAATCAGAAGGCGAGAGTAGTTCGTAACCAAGTTTATTCGTTGGCGATCTCGTGGTATCAAAAGAATACCGAGATCGTGCCGAAGGAGTACAAGCGGGATTGACAGGAAAAAGTACGTGCGTAGAGTCACAAACCGCACAGAAAGGTAGTGGAGTCCAATGGAAGGCCAACATGGCTGTCATTAGCACAGTTAAACAAACGAGCACAGTAAAACAATCACTGGTACAATTGGTTATAATAATAATTGTTTTCATTGAACCAATCGCGTTCTGTTGACAAAAGTAGGTCACTACAAGTTAATCCATCCGACAGTCGGGTCACAAAATGTCCAATGGTTGACTGATTCTTGTCAAAATCAAGAGCAGCCAACGCACATCAATTAATCATGCGCTATGGGCTGGCCCATGCGGTGGTCGTCGCACTCTATTCCTTGTACCCACTCTTACTTATATGTTTATGTAATGACTTCTTTTGTGTCAAATGGTCTTCAAAACAGCCATAGTATTTTGGTACGACGAAAGAGTAATCCACGTTAGGTGCCGACTGCGAGGTGTGACTTCGAAGTCAAATGGTTGCTCACACCATTTTCATTTAAATCGAGCAATTCCTCTATCATTCTACACAGATTATCTACGCTAGTGATCTAAAAGTTTTTGCTTCACTGACTTCATTTCCAGTGACTCTAAATAGAGACCTACGTATATTCAGTGAACAAAATATCGATATTAATAAATTATAAAGAGATGGTGTTCTAAATATATAAAGCTTTCTCTTGATAGTAAATCCCACTACCTGACCATATGTAAAGAGCAAAATTTACATACACAGTCCACTTTGCTATGCCGTACCCGTAATCTTGCGGTACTATATCTGAAGTTTGCTTATGGATTGAGCTTAGGTAATTAACTGATACACAGAAGGTTTAGGATGCCAAACATTATAAAAAATCGCCATTCGGTTGCTTACACTTTAATGAATAGACATCCAGTGATTTAGAGCGCTCATAATAAAGTTTAAATTTAAAACCCTGAGCTTCAACTTGGGATACGCCACCGATTTTGGGAGTAAAGAGAGACGCATTACATTTTCCTACTCCAAATAGTGTCTGAATAAATCTTCTAAAAATGCAGTGAAAATGCCTGCTTTCAAAATTGTCAAAAATGTTTCTCAACGTTACTATAGCGCGGTTTCTTCTAGAGGCATTGGTGAGACTATAATTTATGGACGACCTTTGAGCGACGCTAAGGTGACCTTGAGCGTCTACATACTTACTAAGGCCAAATGAATGTTTTAAAGCGGTTTAAAGAATAAAGACAATGATTTACAGTTGATGATAACAGTTAGGATTCAGGTTTATGGATTCCATCACGAACTGACATCAGCTATAATCTTAAGACGCTATTAGAACGAATGGGTGAGTGAATTCCGCGCCACAATCCAAGACCCATTATCCTACATCTGATTAATTCGTCCATAAATTATAATCCCACCATCCCCAAAGTATAAACACATGAAATGCATTTTTTATCGTCCAATTAAACCGTAAAACAGAATCTGAAGTCCATGGGAAGTATGAGTCAACCTATACTGTATAACATCGTTCAATGTCGAAGACTTTCAAGCGCGCTTGTTTAGTTCAACATAAACGTGTCGGCGACCTGACGTTTGGTTTCAACTATGGTAAGCTATCACCTAAACTAATCACTACCTTTTAGCCTGTTAGTAAGAATGCAAAGATCAGCCAGCATGTTAATTATAGGATTAGGTGTACCATGCAAGATGGCCGGCAACTAGTAGGGACGTTCAAAGCTTTCGATCGTCATATGAATATAATATTGTGCGATTGCGATGAGTTTCGCCAAGTCAAAAACAAGACAGCAAAGCAAGATAAGGATCGGCAGGAAAAACGGGCTCTAGGCCTTGTTCTACTGCGAGGTGAACATGTTGTAAGTAACTTTTCTTGTACATAATCCTGTTGTCTCATGTACCGTACAAATGTTATTTAAAGTATAATACGCACTGAACAGCTGCAATATTGATATTAAAATAATGCTAAACGTCCAAAATGTCATTAAAGATTATTGAATCAACGTCCGTTACGAAGTTAGGCATACTTCAGCTAATCTCCGTGATTGCGGATTCTAAAATGTTGCAAGTGTGCAAATCTCCTTCAGAATAAATCGGTCATGGATGAAAAATCAAATTTCAAACTTAATTTGCGACTCAAACTTTACCTGTCCGTTTTTATGCTTGAATTTAACTACACTGGTCGACAAGACTGCGGACTAAGTAATTGGTCTTATGTCAATGCTATTATGTGACAACTACACATTCTCTATGGACCGTACCCTGTTTTCAAAGTTTGGATCTGTAGTCATGTTGTTAACACGTCTTACAAGTGTTGATAGTTTGTAAAAGAACTTGCAGAACTGATAAATTAAAATGCTACTCGAACTAAAATTCACTGGAAAGGCAACTGTGCTTCATTGTCTTCTTGGGTTAACCATTTGTTTGCCAAAACCCTGAGTTAATTTAGAACTTGGTTTAATTTCCTTATTAACCTAGCTACGTTTTAGTACATCATAATATTCATATATGTTCCGGGATTTCCCTGTTAAATTGAAAATCTAGCAACTCTCCGTTGTTAACAATCATGTTTTTATGTTTCTCATCTCCGGCCCAATTTGTCGCAAATCTATTTTCACTTCTTTTACGTTAGATTAGTCGTTCTCAAGTATGTATAAAAATTCGTTTATTTCTTACGATGCATGAGAAGTATAAGTTTATGTAGAGATGTGTGTTTCCCAACAATGCCATATTCTACCAGATTTAACGTAGCATCAGTCCTTGAATTCACTAACTTTAACTATCAACTGTAAATCATAATTCTAGTTCCACACACAAGTTTATAACTCTTATTAGGTGGACACTCAATGTAACTTTGGTGTCGCTCAAATGGTCGTCCATAAATTGTAGTCTCACCGATGCAGACTAGGTTGGAGTCCGCGCTACTATCATAGCCAATGGTTAGAGACTCTTGGTGACATGGCTTCAAATCGATCACAGTGGCGTAGGTGTATACACTGTCTTCCCTATGAGACTAAAAATGTTTTATATCTTTCTTTCTAAGCACTCATTCTTCCCGTCCTATATCCTTATATGCAATCTTTCTTTTATATATTACCACCATTGAATTAAGTACTTTATGAATTCAGTGTTGATCTTGTTGTGGTAGTGAGGTGTGGCAACTAGGACCGATGCATATATGTGCCTTTTCCTTCCTTGTAGGTGACCGACTGACTGAGAGACCTGATTACTTCTATCTTCGAAGCTTTCTCACCAGTAATAAAACTACGTAGTTAGTAATAACTTGATGCGTTCATTTTTAGGTGATGCCTGTGAATGCACATCAATTGAAACTGCTAAAATATACCAGTCAGTCAGCTGCAACGTAGGACCAGGCACGTATATGCATCGGTCCAAGTTGCCATACCGCATTAGCACAACAAGATGAACACCGGGTTCATAGAAGTAGTTAATTCAGTGGTGGTAAAATATAGAAGAGTGTGTATAAGGAGATAGTACAGGAAGATAGAATTGGTTCCTAAAAAGAAAGATATGAAGGGATTTTAATCTCTTAGTTTAAAGGAAGACAGAGAGTGTATACACCGACGCCATTGTGATCGATTCTGAGCCATGTCACCAAGAGTCTCCAACCATTGGTTACGATAGTCACGCGGACCCCAACCAGGTAGTCTGCATCTACCAACATGGCTCAGACCAGAAGTTAGTGACTTTATGGACTGATGCCACGTTTTGGTTTGGCCGCCCCTAACTTTCTTCCAGTCATCCCTAACACCGGTTACCATTGCGCGTCGTGGTAATCTGTGTTCAGGCATACGCAGCACGTGGCCCAACCATCTCAGTCGATGAAGGTTCATAACCTCATCAACTGATTTACCCTCATTCCCTAATACCCTGCGTCTAACCTCACCATTACTTACCAGGTGATCCCAGCAGATACCCGCAATATTTTTAAGGCATCTGTGGTCAAATACTAGTAACTTACGAATATCTTCTACTCTTAAAGGCCATGTTTCGCAGCCGTATAGTAGAACGGAACGAACTGCTGCGCAATATACTCGTCCCTTAATTGATAGACGGATATCTCGCCTTCGCCATAGATGACGTAAGTTGGCAAAGGCCAAGCGAGCTTTTCGAATCCGTGCTGAGATTTCGTCAGACACCAACCCATTAGGGCTGATCAGACTTCTAAGATAAGTGAAGTTGTCGACGCGTTCGACTACTTCACCCCCTATCCTTAGTTCAGGTGTTGACGCACACCAGTCCTGAAGCAACTTGCATTTGGAGGGAGAGAAGCGCATCCCAAATATTCTGGCATTGTTGCTCAGTGCTACCAAAAGACTCTGCATTTCATCACCGTGAACATCTTAATCTCTGATACTCTACTTCCAAACAGTTTAGCTCTATTCCCTGTTCGAATTCATTATGAGTAGTCGAGCAAATAGAAGTGGATATCGCCTACTTGGAAAGTAGTTTATGTTCATCCTAATGGAGTCATTTCAACTTTGTAAAGAGGGAGTAGTGAAAATAAAGTTCACAGTTTTTCGTTCATTAGGAGTATTATTAAACTCTTACTAAGTAGGAAGTCTAAATATGTGCTTAAAAAGGGTTGGGTTATTTGTCCTTTTCATTTGGATACTAGTGATTTATCTTGTGATAACTATCAAGTGTCCTGATCAGACGTTTACGTTCTAAGTTAGTAGCTGCTGAAAACAAATAGCTGTCGATTCTTATCACTACATGTTTTGTGATTTTGAACTCTACAGGTTTCTTTGAGTGTGCCTTAGGTGACTAATTAAACTGAAAAGAGGCTTAGAGGACTTAAACCCCGAATATCTCAATCCTACCTGGTAGATCTGACTGTAATCTACTCCAAATGTGCTGTTCGCTTCACTGTATTAATAAATTGAAGTTGAGTGAGTAACTTCATTCTTGCTCTATACAGCTTTCAAAATATAAAATACGTCCGTAACACAGCATTTCATATTATTAGTGTGTAAAACCTTTTGTATGATTCAATGTGGTTTCAGAAGTTATAAGCTTCAGATTGTGGTTTAGAACAAGGTCACAGCATATGGAATATCTTGCAGTCCTAAATTATCATTAATTTCTTTCTGTATATTGAAGGATTATTCTTTGTCAAGAATTTTAAAGGGTAAACTATCGTAAGTGGTATTATCAACTTGGGGACATAACCTTAGAATGTAAATAAAGCCTTGCCTATTATTAGTCGTGCATAGTCTTATAGTGTAGGAGCTATAATGTGAAAACTTTCTACCTAGTTCACTAGGTATAAGTGCATGAACCCAGCTCTGAGCCGTACTATAAGAGCTGTCCAGGTGCTTAAACTGGAATGAGATTGCATTCGAAGTTAAAGTTATGCTTCAATTACTAAACTGCTACTTCACTAAATCTTACTGGCAATGGTACTAGATCTCTATGGTGCAAAGTGACTGGACTGTAATTGACTGCCTCTAACATCTTTTCCGACAGCAGAAGACTACCAAAACTAGATTCTAGTAGACAGTTGCTTGTGGGCTATCAAATTAAAAGAGAAATTAGGAAACTTGGAAAGATTTAGGAAAACACTTCTCTGTCTACCCTTCGATTTCCTAGAGTTTAGATGGATAAATAGATGAATTTGACAAAATACCTTCTGACCTCTTTCGCAAAGCGAAGCATCTAATTGTGTCAGCCATATATGACTTTAATGCCCAGGTATATTGGCTGAAAGGTATCTAGTTGAGATTTCTTATATCGAAGCTCATTGAAAAAATGAATGCGACTGTCTGCTGTAACTATGCCTAGGTAATTTTATTTCTATCAAACCAACCAACTTGAAGCATAAAGTGACACCGTCTGATATATCCACCACTGATTCTGTTCATATTTCTGACATAGCGTGACAGTCAGTCAGTTGGATCATACACAGCCCAGAGCACATCACATATGTAGTTCAATTCAAGTCAGTATATCACAACACAAGTGGAATCGAGGCATATCTGAAACTAGTAGCAGTATCTGTAGTAATAGAAAGTTCAGATAATGAAGTTATTTATTTATTTGAACACATAAATACTGGTACAAAGGGGCACCGAATACATATGCACCACATAAATCCTTCTGGTAGCGTCTCTAGCCACTGTGTGGCTATTATTATTATTATTATTACACTACCATACACCAGTCTGTGGTCGTTATGGTTCTCTTTTTTCTTCTCTCTTATACGCACCTTACATTTTTTTCGCTTCCCATTCTGATTGTTATTGTGTGGCACATATATATCTTTTGCCCCCTTGTACTAATATTTACGTGTTCAAACAAAATAAAAACATAAATCGTTCGATTTATGTAAGGGCTGGGACACTGCCTGGGTGCCAAGACCGGAGCGAGTGGTTTTCTTAGGGAGTCACACCCAGAGTTTTAAACATAAAGGTCTGATCCACAAGGCAGTGGAGCAACGTCAGGAGATGCGACCCCATGGTTGCCAATGACCAACAGTAGGCTCATACGCCGTTCCTTTTCTCAGGATCCTGAAGTCCATGTGCACCAGTGGTTTGGAATCATGGTTTTCCAACTCCCCTATGTGGATTCTCCGTGTCTACCGACCCGGTTAAAGAGCCAGACATTCGCTTTTTGTCCTCTAAATCTCATTGATAACACCGCCACGAGAGGGCAATAAGTAGGACTTCCCTGGCAGTGGCTGTATACGCGTGACCACGAGAGAGCATTTCGAGAGGGAGAGCTGTGACTCTTCCCACCCTCGGCCGTAGCAGAGCATTTGGGAGCCCAATAAACTTGCGACTTAATGTCGCGGAATAATAATAATTTTGGAGTAATTTCAAAACTTAGAATCTAAGGGAAAATAAACTGAATTAATATGGCCAGTCTCAATGATCATTTGAAATATCCACCCGACAGGTATCTTGCGAAAATCTCATTATTTGATTTCTGTTTTCACGTTTGTGGAACCTTTATGAAGTTGAAGCGAACAATCATTGTCTTTAGAAATCTATCATTACGTTTGCTAGCGTCACAAATTATTATCTTCAATTTTCTAATCTTTTCTAAGCTAAAAACTTTGCCAGTTTGGATAGTTTTCATTTTGGAACTTTTATTTGCTTATGTAAAATAATCATGTTTATAACACGTTTCTTATAATTATCTAATCCGTTATCCCAGATATTCATCCTTATCTGATTCAACTGAGTAATAAGATAACAAATCATGTGTTGACAGTTAAGTATTGGTTTTTTCGGTAATGATCTATTTGTAAATCATTGCTTTTATATTAGTGATACTTAGTTGTCACTTAATAATCTATTTAATTGCTACTAATCTAGTGTTCATATATAGTCTTTGGAAGTGATCCAAAGCTCAAATCTCCCAAAATTGTGCTGTTTTATATTATTCACAATGCTTTTGTACTTATTGAGCTCCCCTAAATTTATTTTTAAATTCAATTATTTGTTTAGGTTACTATGAATGTAGATGGTCCCCCACCTCCTGAAGATGCCGCCCGAGTTCCGCTCCCTACAGCAGGTGCTTGGTCAGCTGGAGTTAAGCCATTGACTGGTATTGCTGTCGGGCGCGGTATGCCCCTTGCGACCCCAGCAGCAGCTATTGCCCCAGCTCCACCTGCTGGTTTAGGTGGGCCAGTTTGGGGAGTCGGAGCACCAGCACCGGGTCTGATGCAGCCACGAGCGCTTCCTGGCATGCCACCTCCACCTCCTCCCCCGGCAGGTGCACCAACTGCAGCGTTCGGTCGTGGAATGCCAACTGTCACCGCTGTACGAGGATATCCTCCTCCTCCACCTCCACCGCCTCCTGGATATCATTGAGACACAATCTTACTCATGGTATCTATCCCAGATAACCACTTATTATCGCTGAGAAGTTTTGTAAAAGCATTTACTTGTTTCAATATACTTTTTTAAACATTTTGGCGTTCATATTTTCCATAAAATCATTTGTTGTGGGTCGCTTCCCTCTTTTTACTAACCAAATTTCGTGACTGACACAGCAATAAAAAAACGTAGATTATTTATTTAATAGAACGAAAAATTATTTAGATCAATATTAGGTTTTTACAATTAGGCTTAGAGGACGAAAAAAGGATATGGGACTGTTCTCTAAGAGAAGGATGAAACGATAACCTTTATTTATATTATTTTTCTCTGTAAAAGCTCAGTTATGTTTTTCATTGTATTTACGCATCTATTATTAAGTGTCATTTAATTAGTTGTTTAAATCATAGTTTTAATGATTCCTTGGTAAGTCCGATCGGAATATTGTAAATTTTATTCAAATTAAAAGTACAATATTTCTATTGATAATATATTTTCATAATTATAATGGAATACAAAAGTTTCTCGATTAAGAGATTCTATAGAAATACTATTAGACAGAAATAAGTAGTAGTTTATACTAAATTGTGCAAGAGTTCTATTCTAGTGATAGGAAATGTTCCAATGTTAATTGGTTGTTTGGAATGCATTGTAAAGTTACTTCATTCGTCCATTTTACACATCTACTTTCTCAATTCCATTTTTAATAATAAACAATATTTCTTCTCCTAAAAAAAAGAAATAAGAGAAGCTCTATTATTGACAGGTGATTCATATTTTTCTATCAATGTTTGTATAGTTGTAATGGACTTACTTTTTAGGTAAGTAGCAAGTTGTAGGTCATTTGCTTTTAATGCTAAATTACTTGGTTGTTTCCCATAAATATCAGTAATTGTTGGACAGGCTCCAGCTATGATTAGAATTTTGCAAATGATCCTTCTTCGACTTGATGCGGCTTTATGTAGTGCTGTTTGATTCCTGAGAGAAAGATAAAATAAACATTTGGAATACTTTTTATATGAAATTAGCATACATGCTCGATTAATTGTATGGTGAAAAGGTAGCGTCTTATTTTTACAGGAAGCTGTTTCAGAGTATGATGTACCTCACAATTTTGAAAATGAAACAGTTTCACTGAACTATGATATTTTTCAAATATTTTGTCAAACGTACAGACTTTCTGGCTGATATGTTAAACAAATTGCTTAGTCGATACTATTTCTATGGTATTTCTACTTTGATCAGTGCTAGATATTTATTAACTAACTATATATGTTCAAGAGGCTCTCCTGTAACATTTGTGTTTATCTTTGTTCTCCCGGTTAGCATGATTTTCCTATCCCATTATTTTGACTCTTAATTACCTCAAGTAATTTAGAACTGAGCATCATGCTATTGAGATTTATGTTCGGTATTATCTTATTTTGAATAAGCTATAAGTGTTTGGTATTTATGAATTTCATAATCATATAACAAAGCTTGGATAGTTTGAATACAATTCATGTACAAAAAGGAAATGACTAGATATTTCTCTGGACATTCATGTCTACATGCTGGATGAATGGTTAATATATTATTCTGGGGTTATGTATATTCCCTTGTCTATGGTTATTGTTATTAGATTCCGTTAAGGCATTCTATATCTGGCCACTAAGTCCTTGCTTTGAAGCCTGCTCTGTACGTTTCCCTTTTCGGCATACTCAAATACCTGGTTGATGAGTTTATTTAAGTTGATTAGAATATATAAATATTAAACAATTGAGAAGGTCGATACTTACTTCTTATATTCTTGTAGGTCGATTAGTTTTTCTGGAACTGGAATGAAATTTGCAATTAGTTTGTTAATATCTAATCATCTATAAATGTAAATCTAAATGAATTTATTATTTGGATCAGTAGAATATAAATGGGGATGGCCCCTAAATGTCCTGGTACGGCCGAGAGTGGGGAGAGTCCGCTCTCCCTCTCGAAATACTCTCACATGGCCACGCGTATATAGCCTCTGCCAGGGAAGCCCTACTCACTACCTTCTCGTTGCATTACTGTTGTTTACGAAATTGAGAGGACGAAAAGCGAATGTCCGGCACCGGCTCTAACCGGATCCCAAACCAATGGTGGACATGGGCTGGCTCCAGTATCCTGCGGGAACAAATGGCATATAAACCAATCGTTGGTCACCGGCTACCATGGAACTGCATCTCCTTACTATGCTCCACTACCTTGTGGATCAGATCTTCAGGTCGAAGGCTCAGTGTGTGGCCCCCCAAAAAAACCACCTGCTTCGGTTTGGGCACCCGAGCAGTATCACAGCCCTCATACATATCAAATGAGATCTGTGTGGCGCATATGTATTTAGTGCCTCCTTGTACCAATATCTATGTGTTAAAATAAATAATAAAAAAGAATATAAATGGGAACCAGAGATTTATTTATGTATTAGAGCTTTACATGATGGAGTCTCGTATTTCGAGCTGGATAGCTTGATCATGGAGTTTTCATTGTACTTCTGAACAACATGGTCTGCTCGATCTTCAGGTAGAAGTGTTTAGTTTAGTCATCAGTCCCAAATATAGATGTATCTTAATAAATAGTGACAAATAATGGCCTTCATACTATTACAGAATATTAAAGTAGATTAACTATATCGAATAAAGTAGTTGTCGCCATCATCTTTGTTTACATGAACAACTAGCTGTCAAACGCCACCATGTGTCATCGTTCATATCAATGCACGTGGACGATCATGGACACGTTCAACTGAAGAAATGTCAAAATATTGGATAGAGAGAATGATAAGTAAATCACAGGGTTTTTAGAAGCTTGGAACTTAGGCCAGTTAATTGTCAATAAGCATTGAAATTGACCTATTATATCGACCGGTTCAGAAAATTATGGACAACTATAAAGTTGAGAATCAAGTCAAAAGGGATGACAACCAAAATAAATATCGAAATAATGACAAGATTAAAGCCAACGAAACTAGCTGTCAGTCAGTCCAGATAACTCGTTCTTGAAGTTTGTGCTGATGACGTTGTTCAGAGAGGTGACGAAAGCTTCACGATTAAACCACTTAGCTCAGACGGCAAAACACCAAAAGGTAGTGATTATTGTTCATAAATTAAGCGTTTGGTGGTTGGAGCGACATTCATATTTTATCAACAAACTTTTTTTAAGAGTAACTAAGGTCCAGCTACTCACTTCTTTTATTATTTTACGTCATTAAGGAAATAAGTAATTCTTCAATAAAGAGATTTGAGACTGTAGTCTCAAAACTGAAAGAACTTCTTTGCAAAATAGTACATATATGGCACTTAAAAGTTCGAAAGTTGCTCACTAACAGGTTTGGTTCTGTTCACTTCAGAATAAATGTGCTACTTCGATGTGGAGGTAAGCATATCTGCAAAAAGTGATTTCAATGATATCAGATAAAGTTGTATGGTATTTCTGTTGTTTTAATGGATTCCAATTAAATTAAAAGTATAAAATTGATATTAGATGATCAACCCTTCAAACGATGTGTATATATATCTAATACTCTCATTATTTAAGCTATGTTCACTGAAGATAAAGTTCCTAAATTATCACTTAATTCTATTGTTATCGTTCACATCATGAACTATTTGCAAATACGACGATAATTCAACCGGTGTCACCATCTTAAAACACCAACTGGAGTATCTCAAACCTGGACCGCTAATTTTGTCCCAGTGAATTTCACATGGTGGACGCTGAGATTGGTTGGGAAAAGCGGAAGGGTGGTCAGTGTATGACATGGTGTCATGCTATGAAAGACAGCTGTACAGGACTGACTTTCGTTAGACCTTCACAACTCCTTGGTTGGAGTCTTAGAGATGACGCAACACAGTGGCTTGAGATGCCAGACATGGCTCTGAATAGAAATCAGTGGCGATCGTGTCGTAAGTTTCTTTTACTTCATAAAAGTGAGAAATTTTTAACTGAAAGAGTTCTTTCTGGTTGTATTTCTTCTAACGGGACTATTATTTATTGTTTTTATTCTCTTGCCGTTTCTTTTCGTGAGTATTCTCGCTTTCCTACCCCACAAACTTCTTTTCCTCTTATATGGTGCATTTTTATTTTGATGTCCCTTTGTACCAATATTTGTGTGTTTAAACAAATAAATAAGTCAATAAAATATTGTCTACAGTTTTTGCTTAAATTTAGGCAAATTTTCTTGACAGTTTACACCATAAATTCACAAGTTCTTATGGTGCCAGATACTGTTCTGTATTTATAGATTACGTAACAAATAGTATAGTCATCAAGATGATATCTTTAAACCCTTTGATATTCTCTCTTTAACAATACATAGGATAACATTAGAAGCCAATTCTTAAGGAATATATTCAGTCAGCTGCAACGTAGGACCAGGCACGTATATGCATCGGTCCAAGTTGCCATACCGCATTAGCACAACAAGATGAACACCGGATTCATAGAAGTAGTTAATTCAGTGGTGGTAATATATAGAAGAAAGAGTGTGTATAAGGAGAGAGTACAGGAAGAAAGAATTAGTTCCTAGAAAGAAAGATATGAAGGGATTTTAATCTCTTAGTTTAAAGGAGGACAGCGAGTGAATACACCGACACCATTGTGATCGATTCTGAGCCATGTCACCAAGAGTCTGCAACCATTGGTTACGATAGTCACACGGACCCCAACCAAGTAGTCTGCATCTACCAGCATGGCTCAGACCAGAAGTTAGTGACTTAATGGACTGATGCCACGTATTAGTTTGGCCGCTCCTAACTTTCTTCCAACCATCCCCAATACCGGTTAGCATTGCACGTCGTGGCAATCGGTGTTCAGGCATACGCAACATATGGCCCAACCATCTCAGTCGATGAATATTCACAACCTCATCAACTGATATACCATCATTCCCTAATACCCTGTGTCTAACCTCACTATTACTTACCCGGTGATCCCAGCAGATGTGAGTAATATTTCTAAGACATCTGTCATCAAATACTAATATCTCACGAGTATCTTCTACTCATAATGGCCATGCTTCTCTGCCATATAGTAGAACGGAACGAACTGCCGCGCAGAAAACTCGTCCTTTTATTGATAGACGGATATCTCGCATTCGCCATAGGTGACGTAAGTTGGCAAAGGCCAAGCGAGCTTTTCGAATCCGTGCTGAGATTTCGTCAGACACCAACCCATTAGGGCTGATCAGACTTCTAAGATAAGTGAAGTTGTCAACGCGTTCTACTAAATCACTCCCTATCCTTAGTTCAGGTGTAGATGCAGAGCAGTCGTTTGAGTGAAAGGAATTTTGATAATTATTTTGGTTTTGAAAGTTGGATTTTCACGATTTCCTGATGTCAGATAGATAACCAATGAAACCAGAAAGTAGATCTATATGTGTACACTCGACCTTTATTGAAACACATCAGTTTGAAAACCAAGCTATTGTATTCTTACTAGAATGTCTCAAAATTATCATGCATACATCAAGAAATAAACATTATGAGTTCCATTCACTTGGTATTGTTTCTTCGGTCTTCCCATTGATGATTAGGACTGCAATTGATTAGTGTCATATTAGCATATGTACATATTGTGTGTATTGCCTCGATATTGCCTTAATTCACAAGCATCATAAGCCAAGTTGGATAGTGGCTAGCAGTGGAATTTAGTTAGTATCAGATTCTAGTATATAAATTTTGTCTCATTTAGTATTCGTTAGTCAGATGTACCATCATTCCAGTATTTATATTCATATGGAATTTCGAACGTAATACGTTTTGTTTCAAGTACAATACGTTATCTATTAATCTACTAAGTACAAATATCAGTTATCTTGTTCTCTAGGTACATATACCGCTATTCGTATTTGAATTTTTAACGAAACTATATATATATATATATATATATATATATATATATATATATATATATATATATATATATATATATATTATATGGAACTCACTGTACTTTAAAAGATATTCAATAACTTTTACATGTCCAAATTTTGCTGCTAAATGTAAACATGATCTTCCATATTTATCTAATGCATATATACTTGCACCAGTATTTAACAATAATTCAATATGATCAATTAAACCATTATATGATGCTTTAAGAAGAGCTAAAGATTGAATAAAAAAAAACAATAGAATAATTATAATTTCGAATAAATTGAGCATTGGGTTGATTGTTATAAATAAATAATATATTTGTAATATCCCAATGAGTAGAAAATTAGATTTTCTGACGTTTCGTGGCTTAGTGTAAGTGACTTCTTCAGAGAATTCTCTGAAGAAGTCACTTACACTAAGCCACGAAACGTCAGAATAATTATAGTTTATCATAGAGAAGTTGAATATGTTGTGTTTTATTTTTTGTGCTAGTGAAGACATAAAACCTTTAATATGTAATTAAGATGTATGGTTTTTATGAAATTGCCAGTGAGACTATAATTTATCGACCAGCCAATCATGTGTAAGATAAAAGGTCTCGGATTTTGACGCGAAATTCACCCATCTATTTAGCTAAATAGAGTTTTATCATTGTAGCTGATGTCAGTTCGTGATGAAAAGCGTAAATCTAATTGGTAACCTTATTCATCAACTGTAAATCATAATTTGAATTCCTCACACAGATTTATAACTTTCATTTCGTCCTAGTTAGTAAGTGGCCACTCTCAAGGTCACTTTAGTGTCGCTCAAATGGTCGTCCATAAATGTTAGTCTCATCAAGTTGCTTTCTCTGAGGTAAATGATTTTAGGAAATAACAACAAAGTCAGATGAAAGGAAAAGAAAGTAACTGGATCAAATGTTCAAACATTGGTGGTACAATTATTGACAACAATCATTGAAATTCACTGTCAACTCAAGAAACTATCAGTCACTTATGGAGAAATTGTAATTGCCCACTTCTTTATTTACGTTTATGTTAATGATGGAACTGAGCAAACAAAACAACATATGCTCACTAGTGACTGGCTTCAAGAGGTTTATCCTGGAGTTCTAGTGAGAAGTAGTGACCAGTAGAGTTCAACCAGGTCTGTTGTGAGATAGTAACTCACTGAAGACAATGGTGGATGTGTCGCTCAATTTCGTGGATTGGTTAAAGTTAGACATTAACACAGTTGTATGTCGGCTCAGTGGTCTAGTAGTTAAGTGCTCGCGCGCAAAACCAGTAGGTCCTGCGTTCGAATCTCGCAGGGAGCGGGGTCGTGGATGCTCACTGCTGAGGTGTCCCACAATAAGACGAAACGGCTGTCTAGTGCTCTCAGGTTTTCCATGGTGGTTTAGCTTTAACTGAGACATGATCTTAACCATTGAAAACAATAAAAAACGACATGATTAGATTTTCTAGCTCAGTGTAAAATACAATTTCACTAGAAAAGGCTAATCAAGGAAAAAGAAACATTCCTAAAAAGTTTCCTCTTTCTTAATCATGATGCATAATATATTTAAATAAGGAATCAGTAATCTTGAGAGCTGTTAGAGGTGTGAGGGCGGTTATCATTTCCCGGTTGCCCACACCGTGTAAGGGTTCTTGTAGAGGTACCTGCAAAATAAAATTGGATTAGAGGTGGTCATAGAGACCTGGGAGTGTGACCTCAATACCCAAGGGACAACTGCTTGAGGCCGGTTACACATGACCTTTTTGTGAGTAATTTTCGTGTTAGCTCCGTATTTGTTGAGACCTTACCACCGGAGATGGATATCCGTGGGATAAGGCGAGGTGTGCATTTTTAGAGTCGGCCTTTTCTAACCCCATCCCTCCTTGTGGGAAGGCAGCATCGCTGTTATGCTGGTTGTCTGAAGGAAACACCTTACTGCCGTCACATCTCTGTATAGTCAGCAGTACGACGTCGCCTTCGGACCTTGGGTTTGCTGGTTTTAGTCTTACCGTTCTTCAACCGACTTGTCTGACATGGTAGAACCTTGATGAACGATTGTCTCAGACGGTATACCTCGATTAGTTTAGCTATCACGTCAAAGTGGCAACAACGGTCGGGTAAATAAGAAATATTTAAGAGACTTTCTTGAACAGATAAGTAAATGAATATATAACTCTAAACCTGTTTTTAAAGACGTTCATATATTCATTACATATCAAAATATCATTTCTGTCTTCTATGAATCAGTTAGTTCTAAATTTAACAATATCAGATTGAATCAATTTGATTCAATACTAAAATGAATATACAATTTGACGAGAATAAGTTTCTCAATTAACTGTTTTACTTATCTAGTCAGTCATATTAAACCTGATAGATTGGATAAGTTTTAAGTATTGTTTACACTGGAAGTTCTAAACTAATTCTTAAAGAGAGTTCTAATAAATACAAGTATCAGATTCTCATTAATTTAGTATATCAATAAAATTATGTACTGTGTAAATAGAAGGTATCACAACGATTTTGGCATATGCTACTTATATCTTTCGGCATAAGTAGTATATAACACTAATCAGAGACAAAATGTGTAGCAGCAGAAGTCTATGAAGAACAAATTGAAGGAAAATGAAAAAAAAATAGAAAGAAATTATGAATTGGAAGAATCATACAGAATGTAAAGGAATATTGATGGAAGATTTGTAAATGTAACATTTAATGCAGTTTGTTGAACTGTCACTATTTACAATTTCTTGACGCTTATTGATAATTGACTGATGATCAGTTTCACATTGCCTGAGCCTTAATATCAACTATAGTCTAGTCAAAGTCTTCAATAGGTTCAGTTACTTGGCGTCACGTTGAAACTTATTTACTGTTGAATGATTTGAAATAATCAATGAGAAAGCAATAACATACATTTTATACTGGTTAAAACTCATTAACATGGTAATCTATATGGGATGTTTAAGGAATTCGTATTCTATCCAAATAGTTCAATGTTATCGACATTGTCTGAAGTACTAACTGATCTATGTTTGAATTTTTGTGGGAGGATCATTAAGAAGCCAGGTTTATCCTCTTCAATTTGTAGGAGGTAGTAATGTTGGGTAGGCATTGGGCAGAAGACTTGTTATTTCAGTAATTAGAGCTTAACATGTCATGAGACAAGTAATATTCAATAAACAAATTAAAGGCCCATTTTACCCTTTACATAATATTGTAAATCGCAGCTAAAACTTGATCTGTACCATCTAAAGCAATTATATTTGTAGAATGAGAAGAAACAAGAAGTTGTTTCATAAAAGGAGTAAAAAAGTTGAATAATATAATTTATGAACATATCTTAGATACACTTGGTGAGTATCATAAAAACTTTTCAAAGGATTGATGTACAACTGAGACCTAGTTTCTGATTATTTTCGAAAGCTTCAGAAACTTGATTTATGTATAAAAAGAAATAATTGTTAATCTTTGTTTGACCTGGTACCCTTGTGATGTGTGCTACTTCTAACGACATAAGTAGTATATAACGCTAGTTAGGAATAGAATGTCTGGCAGAAGAAGGTCAAGAAGATCGAGGAGGAAAGAACAGGAACAGGAAGCAATTGGTATGGAAACGAAGGAACTGTCAAGTCTAAGACAATTGATTGATATTTTGCATATCAAGTATTTACTATATGATTCTCAGATTTTACTAAGAGATTCTGTAATTTTATGTTCTAATACATCCGATTGTCTCCACTTGTGTTCTAGTCCACTAAACCATAACTTATAGCTTCCAAATTCTATAATTTAAATAGTTTATTTGGTCGTTTTTTAATCATTCATGGATCTAACTGAGCTTTGTTAATTTTACTCTTATTTATTGTAACTTTTCTAGGTTAAGTAGGCACCTATTTCCGACTATATGGTGTAATGCTACTGTCATTTCCTTTTCAGGATTTTGCTTTCTAGTCTTTTAAACTTTGTTTAAAATCTTACATACGCCTATTACTCCTCGTAACGGAGCATAGGCCGATCACCAGCATTCTCCATTAAACTCTTTTCAAGTTGTTTTCAGTTGCTATTCATCCTTTTCACATCTGGTTCCAATTCTCGACGCAATGTGTTCTCCGGTCTTCCTCTTTTCCGATCCCTTTCAGGATTCCAAGTTAAGTTTTATCTCGTGATGAAGTTTGGTGATTTCCGTAATATATGTCCTATCCATTTCCATCGTCTTTTCCTAATTTGCTCTTCAGCTGGAAGCTGGTTGGTTCTCTCCCACAAAAGGCTGTTGCTGATGGTATCTGGCCAATTAATGCTGAGTATCTTGCGTAGACAACTATTTATAAGTACTTGCACCTTCTTGATGATGGTTGTAGTAGTTCTCCACGTTTCAACTCTATACAGCAAAACTGTCTTGACATTTTTATTGAAGATTGTGACTTTGATATTTGTTGACCGTTATTTTGAGTTCCATATGTTCTTCGATTGCAGGAATGCTATCCTTGCTTTGCCAATATTCACCTTTACGTCTGCATTGGATCCTTCTTGTTCATCGATGATGTTTCCCAGGTACATTAAAGATTCCACCTCTTCCAGAGTTTTTTCATCAAATGTTATCGGATTGTTTTTCTCCGCGTTGTATTTAAGGATCTTGCTTTTACCTCTGTGTATGTTGAGGCCTACTGATTCAGAGACTGATGCTACACAAGTTGTCTTCATCTGTATATGTTCGTGTGTATGAGACAAGTGGACCAGGTCATCTACGAAGTCCAAATCATCTTATTAATTCTAAGCTATCCATTTCTTTTTGTTTAAAATCATATCACACCATAATGATAAGTGTCCGCATGAATTTACAATCAACCTTATTACTGAATTTTGTCCTTTGTTTTCGTTTCTTTTTCTCAAGTTAACAAATCATCCGATTATTATTGGCTTATAGCTAATTTAAGTAGTATCACTTGACCTTGACTTATTCTCTTATTTTCTCTGTATAGAATTATTACCAATATAAATTACATTGTTTACAATCAATAAATTGTGTTATATGAATTCATATATATATTTTATTATCATATTTATTTACCTTTATTGAGACAATGTTGTAATTGTTGTGATGTCATTGGAAGAATCAATTTTTCAGGCTTCTGATGATGATGATGATGATCATAATCTTTAGATTTCAATGATAAATCATTAATTTCTATAAAGAAAAAAGAATCGGAAATAAATTCATAATAATAATAGTAATAATAGGTATATCGTGAGGAATAAGTCACTTACAAGTGGACTGAGTTATGTTGGTAGGTGTAGACTACTTGGTTGAGATCTTCGAGATGATTGTAACCGATGATTATAGACACTGTACGATATGGATTGAAATCGTTTGCCATGGCGCAGGTCCATCTGCTCTTTGTGTTCCCTCAAAGTCTAATCTTCTGAAATCTTAATGTCCATTGTTTTTCTCTTTCTATATTTATTTCACTAGATTATATTCTTTAAGTAACATCTTCAAACCCTAATCTTTCCGATTACTGCTTATAATTTTATTACCTCTACCACTATGATCTTTGAATCGACAATTACATCCCCGTGCTAATGTGGTATGGCAACTCGAACTGATGTACGTACGTACGAAGTTCTACGTTGTTGTTAAGTGGCTGACGGAAATGTCAATATTATTGACAGATGAATGATCTATAAAATCAGCAAGTATCCTTATAAATATGTGTGCTGATTTTAAAGTAACCGAACCCCCCCCCCTTTGAATCATTATAACAAGATGAAGATATTTTAACAAAAAGAATGTACTCTTGTAGGGTTGAGTTCATAAATCGTACTCCTTCCAAATATCTTGTCAGTTCAAATCTGATTTATATGTGCTTAGGTGTGTTTTGTTCAGTTTCATCGTTCATGATGATCTTAACATCTCTTCATATTTTTTCTAAATTAACTTTTAACACGCTATTGGTTTTCGCTCTTCATTTATTTACTATTTATTTAAAAACATAAACATGGGTACAAGGTGGCACCAAATAGATATGCGCAACATAAACCATTCGGTTTGTGTGAGGGTTGGGATACTGCACGGGTGCGTAAACTGAAGCAGATGGTTTTCTTAGAAAGCTACACCTAGAGCATTAGACCTTAAGGTCTGATCCACAAAGCAGTGAAGCAACGTAAGGAGATGCAGTCTCATGGTAGTTGGTGACCAACAATAGGTCCATTTGTTCTTTCAGGATCCTGAAGTCCATGTGCACCGTTGGTTTGGAATGAGGGTTTTCCAACTTTTCTAGGTGGACTTTCTCTTCGCTCTTCATCTTCATGTCTATATTATTTAATTGAAGAATTATCTTTCATATGACTATTCTTTATCTCATTTTGATATATATTTTTGTATTTTTATCGACTTTATAATTATCAAAGTCAATTATCTATGTGTTATTAAACTCTGATTACTTTTTTAATATTTGTTGATGACAAATTAATTCTGCGTTTCTTCTACCTGTAGTTTATGCCGATGATGTCGTTCAAAAGAGAACGATGAAAGCTCCACAACCATATCATCCAGCTCAAAGAACAAAATTCCATCAAAATTCTCTATTTCTATTATGAATCATTGTATGTAAAAAAAAATAATAGTGGTATATAAGTATCAGAAGGGGTTTTGTGGAGATTGTGGTAATTTCAATAGTTAAGATCATGAGTCCATTAAAGCTAGACCACCATAAAAAACCTGGAAGCACTGAACGGCCATTTCAGCCTATCATGGGACTCCTTCTTAGAAGTGCTCATTCACAATGCCGCCTCGTGGGATTCAAACCCCAAGACCCGTCGGTCTCGCGCACAAGCACTTAACCACTAAACCACTGAGCCGGCTGATATCCAACAGTATTAATGTCTAATCTCAAATTATTTTAGTAATTTCTATCGGTAATAACAAAACAAGTGAACATTACCTTGATTAGATGCTGTCACCTTTATATCGACATCATCATCATCATCATCACCATCATTAGTATTATGATCGTCATCTTCATCGCTAGATATAATTTGTATTTCTATTGTATTATTACTAGATTCACTAGTAAAATTATTATTTTCATAATTTGTTAATAATATTTCTTCATTATCTTTATAATGTTGAAATTCAGTTTCAATTGTTTGTTTCATTATTATGTCATTATTTGAATTGATTAATTGAATGAAATCATTTGAGGAAGATATTACATCATTTTGTTGTAACAATGATGAATTGATTGGATTATTATTATTATTATTATTATTATTATTATTATTATTATTAAGGAGAATATTATCCGGGTAGTTTTTGGTTGCGGTACTTGATGTATCTTGAATACTACTATTAATAGTTGTAGTAGTAGTACTATTACTACTGTTACCATTATCACCATTAGTATTAATAATGATATGATTGTTTTTATAATTCAACTGATTCATTTCATATGGTGTATAAAGAAAATGATTTTTTTGGTATAAATGAATTGAATTATTATTTATTATATCTATTTTATTTTCTATTTGTTGTACTTGTTTGTCTCTAGGGGATTCTTTGTTAAAAACATAAGTTGGATATAATGTTGAATTGATTATATCATCATTCCTTTAAAAAAAACAAAAAAAAACAAAAAAGAAAAGAAAAAAATAAAAAAAATTTGATAAACATATCAACTACTTGTATAATGATTAGAATTGATCAATAAATTGTATAATGTTTTATGGATTTCAAATGAATATATTAACTCGTAAATATAGTTATAAAGTAATATTCATTTGATGTTGTTGTTGGGCTCATTATTTTGTCGTCGTTTTAGATCGGACAATGTTTGTTGACGGGCTCTACACTTTAGTGACTCGAGATCTAACTCCAAGTACATTATATAAATGTTTGTTATCGTCTATCCTCGTATATAATCATCGACTGAAATCGCGTTAGTCAATAATGGAATTAAATAAGTCAAATAATGAGAATTGACTTTTGAATACATACATTTTGTATATGAAGCGAATAGAATAGTGAGAAGCAAAACAACGCACAGTGAAGATGGCGGATAAGCCAACTCCCATTTAACCAAACGTTAATCAAGAGTTATAGTCACATACAAATAAGTTAAAGATATATGACGAGTAATGAGATAAGAAGTGTACACACACCTACGCTCATATAAAAACTACTCTGATATAGCCTTAAGTCACAAGCTTTTTAAGCAAAGATGGATACTGGCTAGCAGTGGAATCCAGGATAAGCGTTTCAGTCTATCTCAAACTCGTCAGCTGGATGTACCTGCATCTCAGAGTTGATGTTCACACCGGGACTCGAACCCAGTACCGTTCGGTTCAAACACCATCGCATTCTCCACTTAGCTACTGATAGCCAATTGCCTGTGCAATGGAGTGAAGTTTAAATTCACTTGATGTTGTTTAATGATAATGAGATAGGTAATTGTTTCATTTTGAAACAATTGGGCAAGACTATAATTTATGGACAAACCAATCAAGTATAAGATAACGAGTCACGAATTTTGACACGAAATTCATGTATTCATTTGGCTAAATAGAGTTTTGGCATTATAGCTGATATCAGTTCGTGATGAAAACGCTAAACCTAATTTTTAACCCTAACCATCAACTGTTAATGAGAATTCTAGCTGCTTCATAACCCTCAGTAAGTGTCCACCTTCAAGGTCACTTCAGTGTCTCTCAAATGGTCATTCATAAGTTATAGTCTCACTAACAATTGCTTTTTTATAGACTAGATAGATTGTGAACTTTCAGTTAAATTTAGTATGTTTTATTTTCATTCTATTTGGTACTTATCAGTTGGATGTACATGAATCCTTTCTAATAATGCATAGATTGTGTTGTTATGCTCATAATTCAAGCGTTATGTCTTAAAGTGAAGTACACTTCAAACTATTGTAATTGTCAATTAGTGATATTTATAATTTTCATCTTTGTGGAGACTGTAGCAGTGGTCTAAAGATTAAGCATTCGTGTACGCGATAAAAAGCCTTGGGTTCGAATCCCGCATGTTGGATCATGGATGAACACTGCTGATGAGTCCTACACTAGGACGAAACGGCTGTCTAGTGATTGCAAGTTTTCAATGAGGGTCTAGCTTAGATTGACTGATAAATTCAACTATTAAAATATATTTATGTTGTTGTGCATATTAATATAAAGGGGAACCATTTATCATAGAAAAATGTTTAAACGTTTTAACCTATATATTATTGATGGTTTATATATACTAAATACTACTATGACAGAATATAGTAGACAATAATAATTCTATTCTGTAAATCAAATCTACAAACATTGACTATATCATCATATATCTACTTACTCTATTCTCAAGTTTATCAACCCAATCTATGAGATTGAACCCCAAAAATTAGTTTCAAGTAACAAAAAAAAAAAAGACAATTCGATCAGGATTTCCTGCTGACATTTTAACAGTAGTTCAAAAAGTCTTCAATATTGTTTATCTGGTTTCAATGAAATATTGTCGATGTTTTCTAAGTGATGTAATGTTGTAGATCTGAAGTGAATGAAGAAGTCAAATATGGAAGACCAATTTATTGTGTTAATCCAAAAATTACAGAACATCTTGATAAAATTTAAAAACTATACATTAAATGCATCATTTTTATATCTTACATTAGTTATCTTTTTATAAACTTCATTGTTCCTTCATTCGGATTGTTATTTTAAATGGCTCTTTTGTTTACATTCCTTTGCTCTTTCAATCTCTCTTCACACATAATCTTCTATTACCAGGTATTCTGTGTCTGTTTAATGTTATATACTATTTCTATCTGTCAACATAAGTAGCAGATACCATAGATCTTATGCATAGAAATTGTAATACTTGTAACAGTTTAATTTATAATTCCTTTTTCTGATAAGTAGTGAATAATCACATTGTTTTACATTGATTAATTTTAATTTGAATAGTTGAGATCATGAATGAAATGAACATAGACGACCATGAAAAATCTGGAAGCATTGGATGGCCGTTTCGTTTTATTGTGGGACTCCTCCTTGACAGCGCGTATCCACATCAATTGACTGATGATCTGAATTATTCAAATTACTATAATATCCACAAAACCCGTTCTGAAATTAATCAACGTATGATCACTAGTGACTGACTTCAAGAGGTATTTTTTTGAGTTCTAGTGAGAAGCAGAGACCAGTAAACTTCAACTGGGTCTGTTGTGAAATAGTAACTCACTGAAGACAATGGTGGGTGTGTCGCTAAATTTCGTGAACTGGTTGAAGTTAGACATTAACACGATTGGATGCCGGCCAGCTCAGTGGTCTAGAGGTTAACCGTTCGCGCACGAGACTTATAGGTCCTGGATCCGAATCTCGCAAGGCGGGATCATGGATGCACACAGTCAAGGAGGAGTCCCACAATAGAACGAAATGGCTATCCATTGCTTTTAGGTTTTCCATGATAGTATAACTTCAATTGACCACGGTTGATGAACTGGTCCATAAATGATTGGCAATTATAGAATAATAGTCAAAAATGTGTTTGAACAAAATACAATTTTATTATTTTATTTAGAGCTAACTAAACTGTCGTAGATAAATAACTTTTATTCATATTATGGTGTGTATGCTACTTATATCGACAAAGAGTAGTATATAACGATAGTCAGAATTAGAATGTCTGGCCGCCGAAGGTTGAGAAAGAAAACGGGAACAGAAAGCAATTGATATGAGAATTTAAGAACAATGAAGTCTATGATAATTGAATGATATTTGTTAAAGGAACAGTCAAGTTTAAAACAATTGATTGACATTTTATAAATGAAGTATTTACTGTATAGTTCTCATATTTTACTAAGAGATTCTGTAAGTTTGTGCTCAAATACATTCCATTGTCTTTAATTGTGTTCTCATTCACTACAATATTAACTGGATTGTAATCAATCACTTGGAGTTTGAAACGAAATGCCGTTGTTTATTGATCTATACAATTTCTATTATAAATTCTTTTGAATAGATAACATTCATTAAAATGAACTTGAAATTTTCAAGTGCAGTGATAAATTCCATTCCATTTATTTGTCTTGTTTAATCGATTTCTAAATTGAACTTTTGTTTACTTTTAAAGGTATTCTATGAATAAGTTTTATTTTTTTTTTTGTTTTTGTTTATCATCTTTGAGTTTCATACTACATAAAGAGTTGATCTTATTGGGGTGACTATTAAAAATCACGAACCATTGGATATTTGTTTCGTTTTCTTTTCTACTGTAGAACACCTTAGCAACGTGTATCTACAACCCTTACAATTGGGATCGATAAGGTGTTGGGAAAACTCTATGGAACTTTGGATATTATTCTTTCTTATGATACAGAATAACATCCAATGGTGATAAACGAAAATAGAAATTTGAAGAGGAGATTCACTTGGTATTGTTTGGCTTGTATCTTCCCATTGAGTTTTTAAGACGGCAATTGGCATATGTACATCCTATGCGTATGCTTCGATATTACCTTAATTTACAAGCTTTTTGTAAGCAATGGTGGATAGTGGCTAGCAATCGAATCCAGGACGCACGTTTCGTTCTATTTGGGACTCATCAACTGGATGTACCTGCATCTCAGAGTTGATGCTCACTCTGGGACTCGAACCTAGTGCCATTCGCTTCAAATGCCATCGCATTATTCACTCAGATACTGAATCCTGATAGCCACTTGCTTATGCAATGAGGTGAATTTAAATTCACTTGGTATTGTTTGGCTTGTATCTTCCCATTGAGGTTTAAGCCTGTGCGTCCTGGATTCCACTGCTAGTCACTATCCATCATTGCTTTGAAGAGGAGATATTGATTAAACAATGATAAATTATATTGATATAAAGCAGTTCCTTATAATAACGGTCACTTTCACACAATTGATCTATTATGTTGAATAGGATGAAAGAATAACTATTCTTTGATTATTTATTGATCTTTTTCATTAAGTTCTGCAAATAATAACATGAAAACTTACTGTAATCAATATAAATATATCATATTGATTTTGATGAATGTACATAGATGGAAGTTGATGGAGATTTGTAGCTCAAGTGGATGATTTTGATGGAGTTTTGTTCTCTGAGCTGAATAGTTTGGTCGTGGAACATTTATCGTTCTTCTGAACGATGAACAAAAAAGACAAAAGATCCATAACCCAACCATCCAGCTGAGAGAACAAAACTCCATCAAAAAGAGATAGAAGTTACAGGTTATAACGTCAACTTTCATGTTCTACAACTTTATACTTTTATATATAGTAACTATAGACATTAAATTCAATGTAACAATTTAAGTAATTCAATTCAAAAAAATTTTTTTGGAAACTTAACAATTCAATTTTTAAATGATTAGTATTTTCTAAGGATCACTGGGTATGTAATAGTGAGGTTAGACGCAGGGTATTAGGGGATGATGGTTAATCAGTTGATGAGGTTGTGAATATTCATCGACTAAGATAGTTGGGCCATGTGTTAAGTATGCCTGAACATTGATTACCACGACAAGCAATCCTGATTAGTGTAAGGGATGGTTGGAACAAATTCAGGGGCGGACAAACCAGCCAAAACGTAGCATCAGTCCCTCAAGTCACTAACTTCTAGTCTGATCCATGTTGATAGATGCAGACTACTTGGTTGTGGTCCGAGTGACTATCACAACCAATGGTTGGAGACTGTGTGATGTGTTTCAGAATCGATCACCGTCTTCCCTTAAACTATGAGATTAAAATTGTTTATATCATTGAAATTAGATTAGATTGAAACATACGTGACATTGATCACCACCCACTGATCAATCAATTGTGACTACATCTCAGTCCCGAACGAGGTAGGTCGTGGCCCGGGTAGCCCAGTGGTAACGTCTCTGACTGTAAAGCTGTGTGACACGGGATCAAATCCGTCAGGGAGCACCAGTCCCCTCAAGGTTACTGGTACATCTTACTGATACCTACCAAGTCGCACGAAACCCAGGTCCACGGTTTCCTGTCGACTACCTTCAACCACCATCTAATCTCAACATAGTGCATGCAATGTGGATTCACCTAGACTAATAGACACATTGCAACTTGGTCGATAGCATTCGATCTGCACTAATAAGGACTTGAAACACATGACATTGATCACCATCTAAAGATCAATTAATTGCGATTGCTTTATATCATTCTTTCTAGAAACTAATTATTTCTTTCTGTACTTTATCCCTATACACAGTCTTTCTTTTCTATATTACTACCATTAAATTAACTACTATAAATTCGCTGTTGATCATGTTGTGCTAATGAGGTATGGACCGATGCAATATATATGCCTGATCCTAAGTTATAGCTGATTGACTAACTAACTGACTGAAGGAGCTGTGTTTCAATATTCTATAAATGTTTCAACTGAACTCAGATCATAATGAAAATCATTGATTAAATATAGTTTCCGATTTATATAAGAATGTAAGATAAGCAAGATTTTTGATAAAAATAAGAAAAAGAAAAAGGTTATTCAGCCTACCTGTTGTTGATTGAGCAATAATAATAATAATAATAATAAATTCGGTAATTGTGTTTTTTTTAATATTTTTATAACCGTATATAGTTTGAATTGGGTACAGTTATGAATAATAAAACGTAAATTGTTCTTAATCACTAATCGATCTAATTAAAATGAAAGAAAGAAAGAAAGAACACAGTTTATGTCAATTTATATTAATGTAACTTACGGAGTAGAAATTTCTCCATCAAAAGATGGATTATTTGTAGGAATGAAATTATGTTGTGCTTGAGTTTTATTCATGCATTCATCATTATCCGCATGCATCAGCATCAGCATCATCACCGTCATCATCGTTATTATCGTCGTCAATGGAGTTATCATCATTATGGTCATCATGATCATCATTCTCATTTGGATTATCGGACGCTATAAGATTACTTGCCTAAAATGATCAAAAAGGATATTTATTAATTGTTTGTTAAAGATGTAATTATTTGTTAATAACAAGCATTATGCTAGTCTATTATTATGATATATTATCCAATTGTATAACTTGAAATGATGTAATCTCCAGGAAAAATGTCGTTTCTATGCATAGAATATCTTCCAAGTAATTGAATATGAACTAATGATTGGCAAATGACTGGCTTAAATATTGAACACACTCCATAAGACTTGAAGGTTTTAGCCTTATTTACGCTATTATGACGTTTTATACTACGATAAAACAACTGTTTAATATTTTGGTAGAGTTTTGTTCTCTCAGATGGATGGTTTGGTCGTCGCATGGAGAATAGCTGAACAAAGTGGGAGAAAAACGGTACACCTAATGATAACGGATGCACATTGTAGGATCCGCAAATAACAACACGTAATAGTGGACCAAAAGATGAAACTACAAAGAACACTCACGTCAGAACATATGAAAATCTTGACAATAGCCATCGAAATATCATGAAAACGACACGGGGAACAAAGAAGAAACTAATCGATATCTCAAAACCACCCATGGGAGAAAACACAAACAATTGCATGGTCAACCTGTCGAAACTACCAGTCACAAAAAAGACAACCAAGTCATCCAGCTCAAAGAACAAAATTCCACCAAAATCATCCACCTGAGCTATAAATCTTCTCCACCATCTCAACTGTCTAAAATCTCCTGGTTTTTACTGGTTGTTTAACTAAGGTAAGTTCTTGATGTAAAATATAAATAACAATGGGATGACACAAGCAAAAAAACACCAAGTGAATTTTAACTTCACGCCATTGTACAAGCAGGTGGTTATGACGACTCAATAGCTATGTGGAGAACGCGATGGCGTTTGAACCGAACGGTACTGGATTGGAGTTCCAGTGTAAATATCAACTCTGAAATTCAGGTATATCCAACTGACGAGTCCCAAATAGGACGAAGTGACACGCGTCCTGAATTCCACTGTTAGTTACTATCCATCTTTACTTACAATGCTTGTGACTTCAAGCAATATCGAGGCAATTCGTATAGGATGCACATATGACTTATATGGGATAGGTATATTGAAAGTTAAAATTTATGATATCAAATATCAGTTTATTTAAATTGTATTTATATTAGATTTTATACTATTGGGCAACTTTAGGAATATTTGTTACATCAAGTTGTTATCATAAGTCTGTAAACAATGTAAATCATTATTATACAGTTGTTCATTTCAAATCTCTACTAATCTGGTTCAAAACATAATCTCAATATTTCTTCTTGTCGATCATCATTGATCTTCCATCAAAATAGTGAACATAATATCAAATCAATTATACAAGTAGTTACATTGATACTGTATCAATAGTATTCGATCAAACACAATTATGATTAAAAGAAAATACTGTCAATTAAGTTTACTACTTTATAGTATTAGGATTACTAAAGCAATGAAGTTAGTCCAGAAAAACGAACCGGACTTTTAAGTAATCTGTTTGACATAAATCTCTCATTTTCTTCTATATGGATAGAAATTAGAGGGAAGAAGAAGTGTACTGAAGTCAATTTTTTTTATACTGTCATTTGATTCATTTAAGAGAAAATCATAATCTGATATAAATAAACAAAAAAAAAAAGAAATGATAACTTAAATAATCAATACAAATTTACACCAATTGGAAGTAATATATTATTCGATTGCTCTTCATCTTTCTGTTCAACATCCTGGATTTCACAATTTGTTTTACATGTTAAACTTTCCTTGATTCCTGATCGATTTAATTGATTATTATGATCACCATCATCACCATCATCACCGTCATCATCATCATCATCATCTTGCAGTAATGAGGTAGATGGTAATGGAAGTAATACATGATCATCAATAAAAGAATTACCCATTGGATTATTATTATTATTATTATTATTATTATTATTATTGTTATTATATGTTAAACACGATTCTAATATAGAATCAATAAGGAATAAATCTTCCATATTACAAACATCTGTTAGAAAATGTACATTTTCTTGTTCTATATCAATACGAAAAAATCGACTAGCTGCAGTAGTTGCTATATTGATTTATTGAAGAAGAAAAAGAGAAAAAAAAGAAGAAAAAAAAACAAAAGAAAAGAAATTATATTTAAAAGTAGTATGTTACTTTTTATATATCAATCTTTTTTTTTACTTTACTTTACTTTAAAACATTTCAAATATATGACAATATATATAAGATTCTTAATTATATTTCATCTATTCATAGTATTCCTAGAAATATCTTAGAAGGTATAGTGTTCAATTAATTGATCCATGTTTTATCTAATATTCAATAGTTTGTTTCTTTTCATAGTAGTCTGAATAGAAAAAATTCCTTTAATTGATAAATTGAAGATCAGAAAGAGAAAAGAAGATTATAATATGAACTATATATGATTGGATTTGATATGAAGTATGTCAGTGAGAAGTAGACTGCATTTAACCCACTTACCTATAGTCTATTTCTGCATAGTTATATTTGTTATCATTCGTTAGTGATTAAACTACATAAGCATAATGAATGGTAACTGTTGGGATCCATTTATGAACAAGTACTATGAATATATTTTTATTGTATAATTGTTCAATAACTAAACTTTTCATATTCATATTCCTCTTACTATAAGCTTTATTTTGACTTATGAACCATTATTATACGTTTTACCATTCTTGAATTATGCCCTGTCTATCTCGCACATTCGAAGACACATTTGACTAGATCTTGTACAGACGTTGTTTCATATTTTATGATACGATGTGGTCTGTCTGTCTGATATATAAACCCAGTATGTTTGAAATAAACGATTCATATTGCAGAGGCTGAGATTGGTGTTTTGGATTTGACTGGCTGGGCTATGCGGAAAGTAGAACGAATAAGGACTCTAGGCTACTCGTACGGGATTTATGCGTTATTGTTCCAATCGTTAATTCGCTGCTCTCTAATTGGCAGTATCATTACGTTATACATTAACAGGACACTCAATCTGCAAGTTATAACAAGAAACAATATATAATACAATCATTAATATGTTTGATTTTGTCTAACTGTGCTTATTTTTGTGTCCGATATTTTGTATACAAAGATGAAGCAGAGTATGCTTCTCTATAATGTTGACCATATTTTATCTATTGGGAAAATTAAAACAATTTGTTGGCATAATTCAAATCATTATTAGTCGAACATCTTATAAATTGCAACATCAAGGACTCCTGATTCGGTGATCTATAACAACTCTAATTATGCTGAAACTGTTGTCGTCAACTTTGTTGAAAGTAATTCGTGACTATCCATAAAATATAAATAGATGATAATAGAAAGTGGGTTTCTCTTATGATGATATTATTATTGATTATGGTATACCTGTATTATTTATGAAACCGTTGTTTCTGACTAGGTGATATCTCATTAAATTGATCGCGATCACATTCTTTTGTAAATGTGAATTACAGTTAGAAAGTTAGACGACATCACATACTTACTCACACCTTTTACCTTAATTAGGGCATAGACTGCCAATAAGAAATTTTCAGGCAACTCTGAACAGAGCCTGTTTTTGCAGTTATAGTAAGACATCATAGATATGCATAGATATGTGAACACTTGTTTTCCTTATTTTTAACATATATACATATTGTGCAAACCGGTCACCGAGTGCTAATTGACATTATTCCCAATTTCTTAGTAGTAAGAAAAGGTATTGTGCCTGGAAAATGATAACGATTATAGTTTATGCACGTCAACATCCTTAAAACCAATAGCCACTGATTTAATAGAAGGATGGTCTTTTTTGGAAGCATCTACCCATCTTTTAATCTTCTATATCGGACAACATTAGGAATAGCCGTTTATATTACATGCTCTACCAGCCTAAACTGATGGTTAATGGTTATTTTTACTTAGTATCCTACTTCCATTTCCGATAATGCTAACTAAAGTGTTCCATCATATGGGATAAATGCTTCAAAGATGACAATTCCAACTGTTAGTGATATTATTCTATACGATGTTTTATAATCTTGAAATGTGTATATATCTTTGAAGTGGTGCCGAAAAGTTAGCAGGCAAGCGAGTGAGCGTGAGAGTCGGCGAGACTATAATTTATGGACGAACCAATCAGGTATAAGACAACAAGTTTCAGATTTTAGCGCGAAATTCATTCATCCATTTAGATAAATAGAGTTTTGCCATTATAGCTGATGTCAGTTTATGATCAAAACCCGAAATATAATTTCCTAAGCTTAATCATCAACTGTAAATTATAATTCTAATTCCTCAGACAGGTTCATAACCCTCATTTGAGCCTGGTTATTAAGTTGACGTTCTCAAAGTCAGTGTAGTGTCGCTCAATAGTCGTCCATAAATTAAAGTCTCACCAGCGAGTCAAATGAGCCAGTCATCGAGTCAATGAACAGGATTAAAATGTACATATATGTGCCTAGGAAAATGAATGAATAATAGAAGGCTAGCACAATGAATATATGAGTAGGCAGTAAGCAATGCTCATACATACATATTCGTACAAGTGCAACAATAATAAAGGTACAATGATATAAGATAAGCTGTTATTGTACGAATGACTCTATCCGTTAAATAAGTTAACAAAAAGGGCTTAACCAAATTAGATGTGAACAAACTCAATTGCACATGAGCTGCTATAAACTGTCTGGAAAGTAAACAACTTCATGGAATGTAACAATATTAACAATGGTTAAGCGTTCACGCGCGAGATCGATAGGTCATGGGTCCGAATCTCGTGAGTCGGAATCGTGGATGCACACTACTGAGGAGTGCCACAGTAGCATGAAACGGCCGCCTAGTGCTTCCAGGTTTTCCATATTGGTGGTCTAGCTTCAATTGACTCATGATTTCAACTATTGACATTACTATAATATCCACAAAATTCTTTCTAATATCAACAATAACAACAATAAAGTATATAGTACAATCAATTACTTACAATCAATAAAAACCCAAGAATCCGATAAATGAAGTCGAAATTTTAAATTAGTTTCTATGGATTCAGAGTTTTCATTGTATAAATTATCTTGAGCATTGTCTTTATTCAATTGAGTAATAATTTTTCTTACAGTTGATAAGTCTGTATCATATTTTGCAGTAATAATACCGATCCATACAGCTTTCAAGAAGAAGAAAAGAAAACATAACAGATTTGGAAGAGATTTTGTAAAAAAAAAAAACAATACGATAAAACTAATCGTTAGTTTTAAAATTTGAAACATCAATTACAGGTTTGGTATGTCTGTAGAAGTACAATCGTCAAGATGTATCTTTATTCCGTCAGTCAGCTACAACGTAGGACCAGGCACAAATATGCATCGGTCCAATTTGCCATACCGCATTAGCACTACACGATAAACACCGGATTCATAGAAGTAGTCACATCAAAGGTAGTAGTATATAAAAGAAAGATTGTGTATAAGGAGATAGTACAGGAATAATAAATTAGTTAGTAGAAAGAAAGATATAAAATAATTTTAGTTTCATAGTTTAAGGGAAGATAGAAAGTGTATACACCTAAACCATTGTGATCGATTCTGAGCCATGTCACCCACAGTCTCAAACCATTGGTTGTGATAGTCACGTGGACCCCAACCAATTAATCTGCATCTACCAAAATGACTCAGATCAGAAGTTTGTGAATGAAGCTACGTTTTGGCTGGTTTGGCCGCCCCTAACGTTCTTCCAGACACCCCCAAAGCTAGTCAGTATTGCGCATCGTGGTAATCGGTGTTCAGGCATACGTAACACGTGTATTTCTACTAAATAAGAAGTGTACATTACAATCTGTTTCAAAGTCAGATATTGTAGGAAATCAATACTTGAACTTCATTAAAAGTAATAGTAAGTATAGGGTTGTGGAGATTGTTGA